GTAATCTGTCCTTTAATTTGGGCCTAATACCCCAATAAGCCTTTTCTTTAATTCTAATAATTAAGTTATAAATTATAAAATCAAAAAAATAAGTTACAAATTACTGTGTTGGGTCATTTGAAACTAAACTAACATTTCCAGGAAGCACTTAAATGAGAAACCAGCATCTTCCTGAAGAATGATGCTGATGGATTTGGCATATTTCTAAAGATTTCATTGTCTAATTAAATTCCATTCCCCATTTTGTTTACCGTGTATTTCAGGGTGACGTGGTACAATGTATTTGTCCAATGAGATTTTAGGCTTGTAAAGTGAAACGGAAGGAACTTTCCATCATTAAACATGCAGCTTGTTTCATGGATTATCACCTGTTTGTTGGTATTGGAATAAAAGTCACAGACACAATACTGATTTGAAATTTCATATGGCTAGGAATGCAACATAACAACCGTGCAGGGGCGGAGCTACAATAGGACAAGGGCGGGCAGCCTCCCCCCTAAACTTTTGGAAAATGTTTAATATAGTACATCAATTTTTAATTAGTACAAAATTTGTTTTTTATGTTTGAATTAGAAGGACCATTTTGAATTTAAAGAAAATATTTGGGAGCTAGGTAAAGGATCGTTTCTTTTTTTGAAATCTATTTTTAAGGCAAATAATTTTATTTGGGTATAAAAAAGGATTTTATATTAATTATAATTCTTTGGACAATTTATATTATATCAATTTAACAATTGGATTTGATATTCTAATTTAAAATTTGTTAACATTTGTAACCATATCAAAAAAGTAACCATATTTTATATGAGATTAGTATTAATTCACTAGACTTGAAAAAAAAAGTGAAAAAAACTTCAAAATTAGGATGTTCTAATGAAATATATCATGAAAAAATATTAATATAGTCTTCATTCTTACCCTAAAAATATGCTAATTTAGTCTATTTATTTTAATTAGAGTTTATTTAAATAATATAGTTTTGAAATTTTTTTTATAATTTTTTTTTGCTCCAACTTATTAACATTTTTTTTATTATTTTATATTATTTGTTTAAGGATATTGGATCATATGTTATTCAAAAGAATTAAATATATTTAATTAATTAAGGTTTTGCATGTATATTATAAATAGTATATATAAACATAATCTCCAACTGCAATCCCTCCAAAACTTACAAATTTAGACTTCAGCCACTAGAATCTCCAACAGCATCATCCACAACCACAACCACTGTTAATGCTCACCATAAAATGGCAATTGCAATTTAACTCTAAGTCAGTGCTTGGTTGTCTTTTTTGTTACCTAGTTATTTTGTATATGTAAAGTGTTTGATGGATTAGGTGGAGTTGTTAAAACAAACTCCACTCAATGTTCTGCTGCTGGCACTAGATTGTTGGATTTGTAATGTGATATATACAATCAGTTATAAATGAAATACTAGTGAGGAAAAACCAGAAACTAAGCTCTAAGCAGCAAGTCAATCTTCATCTCCATTTCTTCTTGTTCTTTTTTTCTGCAAAATACTAGCAACCACACCAACAGTTGGTATAAAAGCCCTTTTTCTTGAGGGACTTGTTAAAGAGAAAAAAACAAAAGAGAAGTGAGACAGAGTAAATACAAGAGTTTGTGAGGAAGAGAAGCTGTGACCTACTGATACACAACCATGTCTACCAGTGATCCCAAAACTATTTTACTCTTTAATCCACCCTTGTTTACAGGAGAAAATTACAACATCTGGGCTATCAAGATGAAAACTTTTCTAAAGAGGCAATGGTATCTGGGACTCAATAGAGAATGGTTTAATCCTCCAAGGCTGCCTAACAATCCTACGGTAGCTCAGTTGAAGAGTCACTCAGAGTATGTGGAAAAAGCCTACAAAGCACTTTCTTACATGCACAGTGGTCTAGTAGATTCAATTTTTCCAAGACTCATGAGTGTAGAAACAGCACAAATGGCATGGAAAATTCTGAAGGATAAGTTCAAAGTGGTTACAAGAGTTAAAGGCAACAATGTTGTCTCACTGAAGAGGCAATTTGAGATGCTAAAAATGGCTAAAGATGAAACTGTTCACCAATATTCAACAAAACTTACTAATTTGGTGAATGAGATCAGAACAAATGGTGGTGATTTTCCTGACAAAAGAATTGTTGAGAAGATCATGGTTAGTGTTGTAGACAAGTTCGAGTCCAAAATTTCAACCATAAAAGAAACTTGTGACTGGGATACACTGATTGTTTCTTAGCTTATCAGCAAATTAAAAGCTCATGAACAGAGATTGATAATGAAAGGTGATGGTGTAACAATAGAAGGTGCTTCAAAGCTACACAAAGAGCTTCAACCTCAAATAGCAAACCTTCTCTTGATAGAAATGATAAAGGAAAATCAATTGAAAATCACCTCAACAATATCAATCGGACTAGCCATACAAAAGAGGAAGTTTCCCACCATGCTCTCATTACAAAAAGACAAATCATGAAGAAAAAAACTGTGAGCTTAAAGGGAAGCAATAGATATAGAGCGAATTTTGCAAAAATTTTGGTTATCTTGAAAGGAATTGCTGAGCCAAGCAAACTTAGCACAAGGTAAAACAGCCTGAATAAGCTAATTATACAAATGAGCAGCATCAAGAAGATCATCTGTTCATGGCAATGAAAAATGGTACTTCATCTTAAGTAGCATCATGGTTTATTGACAACGGTTGCATCAGTCATATGGCAAAGGACACGGCTTTGTTTATTGATTTGGATAAAAATGTGAGAATCAATGTGAAGCTAGGCCATGGTATAGTTGTGCAATCACAAGGCAGCGGAACAATTTCAATTCAAACACTAACAGGTATCAAGCTAATTTCTAATGTTCTCCTCTCTATATTCTTAGCTTAAGCAAAAATTTACTATCAGTGGCTCAAATGATGAATGAGGGCTATTCGTTGTCATTCAAGCATGGCTATTGCATTATATTTGATTCACGTGGAGTTTAAATAGCACATGTGAAAATGGTTGATAGTTCTTTTCCACTGCATTGGGAGAGAGTGCAATAATGCGCGTACATGACAAAGCTTGATGATGGTTTTTTATGGCACAAAAGAGATGGACATTTTAAGGTTAGAACTCGCATATACATGCAAACACATGATTTAATTAGAGACTTACCTAATTTACATGTTAGTGAGGATGTGTGCCAATGCTGTCAACTTGGAGCTCAGAGGGCTTCTAAGAAGCTAGAATTGGGGCACATTGACATTTGTGGTCCCATGAAGATTACTTCACTCAACCAAAATAGATATTTTTTTCTGTTTATTGATGATTTTGAAAAGATGACTTGAGTTTATTTCCTCAACATTAAAGCTCAAGTTTTCATTGTTTTCATTGTCTTCAAAAAGTTCAAGGCTTTGGTCCACCAAAGCGGATTTAAAATCAAAAGGCTGAGATCAAATAATGGCAAGGAGTACACTTTCATTGAATTTAGCAAGTTTTGTGAAGACACTAGTATTGAACATCAACTAATTGTCAATTATACTCTAGAGCAGAATGGAATGTGAGAAAGGAAGAACAAAACAATGATGGAAAGGGCCAAATGCATGCTGTTAGAGAAGAATTTACCATAGTCATTTTGGGCAACAGCTGTTTATCTTTTCAATGGTCCTACTAACACAATCAAAGAAAAGACTCCTATAAAAGCTTGGTATGGGTCAAAACCTTCTACAAATCATCTCAAAATTTTCAGTTTAGTTTGTTATACATATATTCCAAGTGTTAAACGAGGAAAACTAGATCAAAAGGCCAATATTGGGATTTTTGTTGACTATGCAACTCAATCAAAGGGATATAGAATTTATGGTGTCCAAACTAAGAAGATTAATGTGCATAGATTTGATGAACAGGCTCTACGGAATTGGAAATAAGAAAAGTTGAGAGCAATTCAATTTCTAAGCAAGATGAAGACACTGCGATAGACTTTATAGCTCATGGTTCAAGTTCAAAAATTGATGAAGTAGATGATGATTCTCCTATCCTCAAAACGAAATCCCTTTCTAAGATTTATGAAAAGTGCAATATGGCCATGACAAATCCTTCAAGCTTTGAAAAAGTAGCAAAATTACAAGTGTGAGTTCATGCAATGCAAAAGGATCTTTATAGCTTAAAACAAACACCAAAAGCCTGCTATAGTAGGATACATGCCTACTTGACACAATGAGGATTCAAGAGGAGCATCAAAGAACCAATCCTGTATGTACAAGGTTCAAACAAAGATTCACAGCTTATAGTTTTGAAGAACTCTAAGAACTCAGGAAAATGCTTGGAGTTACAAACACAAATGCCAAGGAGGGGTGTTAGCGCTCATTATGAAATGACATTTGTAATGTTACTCTAAGGCAGTGCTTGGTTGTCTTTTTTGTTAGTATAGTTCCTTTAATCAAGGAACCATGTCTCCAAATATTTTGTATATGTAACGTGTTTGATGGATTGGGTGGGGTTGTTAGAACAAACATAACTCAATGTTCTACCATTGGCATTAGATTGCCTGATTTTGTAATCTAAAATCTGCAGTTAGTTATGAATGAAATACTGATGAGGAAAAACTATAAACTGAGCTCCTAGCAACAAACCAGGCTTCATCTCCAATTCTTCTTGTTCTTTTTTCTGTAAAATACCAGCAGCCACACCAAAAACCACAACCACAATCAAGAGAGACAGAGTATCCCCACAAATGCAAAGTTTGTCAAGTAGTAGAATTCTAGAACTTGAAGAAAGGTGTCGAACTTAACTTACAGGTTAAATTAAAGCATAAATTACAAGAATGAAATCCCTCAATAGCTTTTATGAATATCATAATTGTTGTTATGAGAGCTACATGAGAGAAAAAGGATCATGACAAAAAAGATGATCAACGACTACTTTCTACGCTTGGGAGATGCAGTCTTGTATCCACACTTGGTTGGCTTGCCCCAAGGAGTTTGTGAAACCCTACCAAAGCTCCCACTACTTTTGCTTCGACCCTCACCGCCACCATGGGGATGATCAACTGGATTCATTGCCACTCCCCGAACAACTGGCCTTCGACCTAACCACCTACTCTGTCCAGCTTTCCTGAGTTTCCGAGTCCCATGGCTTGGATTTGATACCACACCAACCGTGGCCCTGCACTTGGAATCAATCTTCTTCTCAGCACCGGAGGGTAGTCTGATAATACAGTACTTAGAGTTAGGCTCCTTCAGGATTTTAGCTGAAGTTCCTGCAGCTCGAACTAGCTTCCCACCTTGGCCAGGGTTGACCTCAATGTTGTGGATGATTGTTCCAATTCGCATAGCACCGAGTGGCATGCAACTTCCAATTTGCGAATTGATGTCGAGATGAAGCAACTCCCTTTTCATGTTCTCAATCAATGATTGATTATTCATATCCAGAGCAACTGGGAAATCCTCAAGTCAAGTTGAACAAAATTTCCAGTCACCAACATAAACAAAAATTCGATTCCTTTTTCCTATACCATACAGCTTCTCCGTAGAGAAGATAACATTGAAACAATATCAAATTGTAACTATTTTATTTCTTCAATTCTCTCAGCTACAAAGCAAGCACAATGTCATAAAAAAAAAAAAAAGCCTGAATTTTTGTTTCGTTTTCTGTAAAGATTATAGGAATGACCCAACACCCAAACAGGAAACACAAATCAAACCCAAAATATAAATAGTAGAAGAGAATGGGATAAAAAGAGAGTACCTGAGGAGGAGAAACTACGATGCGAGATGGAGTTGTTGGTGTTGGCGGACGGATAGATGAATGGGCGGAGGAGCCTCCATGGAGCTGAGCGACTCCGCCACAAAGCCATTTCTTTCTGCTATCTTCTCACCGGAAGGAATCTCGAAGCTAACCAGCTAGGGTTTTGATGATGCCACTGGGCTGGCATTTCTCTGAAAATATTTTTGTATGGAGATAGAAGGTAGGTGTGGAGAAAAAGCGACACCGTTTCAAAAATGGGCCATTTGTCTGATTTAGTCCAAGTAATTATGGACTTTAATGGACAGAGCTTGAACGATCACTTGGACTTTTTTTAACTTTTATATTTTCATATTTTGAGGGTTTTTTTATAATTTTTTAAAATTTA